GTTTATTCCCTTAAGTGCTTTCTGCGTTGTCCGTTGGTACTGTCTATGACAACTGTCAATTAAGAGTTCTGTTCTGGAGCTGCTCTGTTGAAACCGTGTATTCTACGAGAGGCGAACCCCATATATCAGAGTTTAAACACCACACATATACCTACCCTCCTACCAGACTCATACTAGCACACACAGACATATAAAAAGCCTGCACTTTACACCTAACATACCCAACCGCCATACCTGCCTTACCTAAAGCACTGTTTATACCTGTAGGCCTACGTGTAGTAAAATAACATTATTTCCCACATTTTGGGGGGCGATTATCCCCATCCATGTAATGCGCATCCGTTTCCAAGTCTCTCTGGTCCCTCTTCCTTCACGCCTCATTCCCTTCATCCCTCACCGGTCTGCCTCTCCCTCTTTGACACCTCTCTCCTCCACTGTGTCATTCCCTATTCACCTCTTTTCTCTCATTGTGCCTTTTCCTCTTTCTCTTCCACCTCAATCTCTGACCCTCCCGTCCTCATTTATCTCTGTTAACCTCCCTCCATCCCTCTCTCCTCCCTTCTACCTTGCTCTTTCTCCCAGTCCTCTACTCTAGGTTGCTGTGGTTCCTCCATCCCTCACTCCGTCCATCCCTTCCTCCCTCCCTCCGTCCCTGTCTCCTACTCACCCTGGGTTGGGCAGGTCCGGTGCGGTAGTGTAGGCCCTGTGCTCCCTGGTCGTTCTCCTGCTGGTTGAGGGAGGAGACAAGTGCCTGCAGCCTCTCAATGTACTGGATGGCACTCCTCAGGATCTCCACCTTGGGCAGCCTCTGGTTGGGGTTCATCAGGGTGCTCCTCTTCAGGGCCTCGAATGCCTCGTTCACCTTCTTCAGCCTCCTCTTCTCCCGCATCGTGGCCGCTTTCCGTCGGTCCATGGTCACAGTCTTGCGTTTGCACAGCTTGCAGGCCCAGGGTAGGCACTGGCCGGGGCATTGGGGCTCCGGGTGGGGGGAGAGACCAGAGGAGGATGCCTTGTCCTCCATACCTCCACCCACCCCTACCCCGACCCCCCCAGATAGACCCCCACACAGCCCCATCATGGAGCCCCCGCGCTCCTGGTAGCCCCCCTGGTCATACCCGCCCGGCAGCCGGGACTGGTAGAAGTTGTCCCCCCCTTCGTAGAAGCGCTGGTCGGGGAAGAAGTAGGGGTTGGTCTCGAAAAGCTCCATACTGGTCGACACTGAAGTTTAGGGGACGAAGACTCCGGTTTGGATCCTCTGGGCTCTACTGTGTGTGTTCTATAGGGGTGTTAGGTCTGATTGTGTTGGAGGGAGTGTGTGAGTGAGCCTCTCCCACTCCTGGCCTGGGTTAGTAGAGAGAGGAAGATGTGTGGAGAACAACTGGTGTGGAGCAGCAACTGCAGGGTGGCATTTAAACCCTCTGACTGCTGCAGGATCACAGGGTTAAATTTAGCACGAGCACAGAGAAACCTGACACGACGTTTAGCTGTTGCTGCACATCTAAACTTCACATCTCTGTTGGGCCCTGCTCTCCAGGGCTTTAGGACCGTGTATATGTGTGTGTATGTGTATGTGTGTGTGTGTGTTTGTGTGTATATGTGTGCATAGGAAGCTATGTCTATGTGTGTGCTCTCGTGTGTGTGTGCATGTGTGCAAGGTAGAGCATCGGCCCATGGTGTAGTAGAGGAATGGAATATGATCTGGTTGCCATGGAAATTGATCAGATTACCTCAGATCTGACCCTGGGATCAAAGATGGCTGCCTGACGTCCCCCTCCATGACACCATACCTGAAGTCCCCTACCATACAGTCTACACACAGCTGTCACCTCCACTCTCAAGTCACCATACTTGATGACAGAAAGTATCACAGTAGCTTTTGTTGAAGGAAAGTTATTTAGATTAGTTCTGAAAATAAGGTATGAACGATTTACCTTGGAGATTTTCAGTATGGACATGTTTGACTGATGTTTTATCACTATGAAGTTCATGGAGTTAAATCTCGACATGTTTTCCACATCCAATACGGAGTCCTTATTATTTGGCTTTAAGCCCAAGAGAATGGATGGAGACACATAACTGGACACCCCTGAGTGACTGTGGGCCTATTTTCCACTGTCTGGTACAGTCTGTACAGTCTGGAATTGACATTACCTGGTATGTGTCTTAACAGTGAGAGTCACATCCGGTAAGATATTTGTGATGGCCTTGGTTGTCCTGACCCTGGACATAGCGTTAGCCTAGCCGCCGGGCGCTAATCCCTCAGGACTCGTCTCACCTCGTAGCTCACAGGCTAATTCTGACAGGCTTCCGCTCGGACGACCCATCAACTACACAGGCTTATCTACTGGTCCTGACACTGCGGCGGTCGTCCAGGCAACCTGGCATGGGGACGTTTCCACACTTTTAGGTGGCCATTAAACCTGTCTGTCACAGTCCTATCTATCCCTCTCATAGCCCTGTCTGTCTCTCTGTCTGTCCCTATCATAGCCATGTCTGTCTGTCTGTCTGTCTGCCCCTATCATAGCCCTGTGTGTCTCTCTGTTTTCCCCTCTCATAGCCCTGTCTGTCCCTCTCATAGATCTGTCTATCTCTCTGTTTTTCCCTCTCATAGTCCTGTCTGTCCCTCTCATAGACCTGTCGGTCTCTCTCATAGACCTGTCTGGTGGTCAATAAGGCTCTTTAGTGGTCTGTCTCTCATGGAATGAGGCACCGATCAGATTTTTTCATAGATCACTGACATACTGTAAAAATTGGCCCGATGCCTGCAGAATGGGTTGTTGGGTGAGCCAGAGCTGTGTTGGGGTAGTGGTCTGGGCTGGACTGGGTAGTAGTCAAGGTTGGTAGTGCTGTAGTTGAGCGTAGGGTTCGCTAGGGCTAGGCTGGGTAGAGGTCTGGGACAAGGCTGGGTAGAGGTCTGGGACAGGGCTAGGTTGGGTAGTGGTCTGGGACAGGGCTAGGCTGGGTAGAGGTCTGGGACAGGGCTAGGTTGGGTAGAGGTCTGGGACAAGGCTGGGTAGAGGTCTGGGACAGGGCTAGGCTGGGTAGAGGTCTGGGACAAGGCTGGGTAGAGGTCTGGGACAGGGCTAGGTTGGGTAGTGGTCTGGGACCGGGCTAGGTTGGGTAGAGGTCTGGGACAGGGCTAGGTTGGGTAGTGGTCTGGGACAGGGCTAGGTTGGGTAGAGGTCTGGGACAGGGCTAGGTTGGGTAGTGGTCTGGGACAGGGCTAGGTTGGGTAGAGGTCTGGGACAGGGCTAGGTTGGGTAGTGGTCTGGGACAGGGCTAGGTTGGGTAGTGGTCTGGGACAGGGCTAGGCTGGGTAGAGGTCTGGGACAGGGCTAGGTTGGGTAGAGGTCTGGGACAGGGCTAGGTTGGGTAGTGGTCTGGGACAGGGCTAGGTTGGGTAGAGGTCTGGGACAGGGCTAGGTTGGGTAGTGGTCTGGGACAGGGCTAGGTTGGGTAGTGGTCTGGGACAGGGCTAGGTTGGGTAGAGGTCTGGGACAGGGCTAGGCTGGGTAGTAGGTCTGGGACAGGGCTAGGTTGGGTAGTGGTCTGGGACAGGGCTAGGTTGGGTAGAGGTCTGGGACAGGGATAGGTTGGGTAGAGGTCTGGGACAGGGATAGGTTGGGTAGTGGTCTGGGACAGGGCTAGGTTGGGTAGTGGTCTGGGACAGGGCTAGGTTGGGTAGTGGTCTGGGACAGGGCTAGGTTGGGTAGTGGTCTGGGACAGGGATAGGTTGGGTAGTGGTCTGGGACAGGGATAGGTTGGGTAGTGGTCTGGGACAGGGCTAGGTTGGGTAGTGGTCTGGGACAGGGATAGGTTGGGTAGTGGTCTGGGACAGGGCTAGGTTGGGTAGTGGTCTGGGACAGGGTAGAGGGTAATAGTACTATAGTTGAGTGCAGGATTGTGAGGGGGGGGCTGTCAGGTTAGCCAGTGATGGATGGTCACTGATGGTGGAGGGAGTACAAAGATCCCTGTGTGGGTCTCAGTGAGAGGGGGGCAACAGTGTGTTAGAGTCACTCATAACACCCCCCCCACACACACACACACACACAAATCTCTCATACACATACACACTCAAGCACCTCCCCACGTCATTGTCAGCAGAACCCGAGAACGTGTGTGTTTGCCAGCCGTACACTCCCCCAACACCCCCCAGGTTGGGGAAAAGTCCCCTCTGCATTTGGAAGTGAAGGGGAACAGTGAGGTACAGTCACCAGGGGGTCCACAATGTTTACTTCTGGTCTGCAGTTGTTCTATATTAGTTTATCTTTGGAATTCAGCACACAAGCCCTGAGACTCAGTCACAGCTCTGTGGGACTGATGAGTACTCTGTGTAGTCATCATATCCTGGTTGGACATTTTGACAGGCATTGTCATTGTTGTCAAAACAGACCTGTTCACTTTGAAGATGCATAGTTACATTTTGTACGTGTGCGCATGGGTGCATGTGTGTGTGTGGTCCGGTTATTGCCAACAGTGCTCCACTTTTCCTCAATGACAAGCAGCAGCACATTGCAGGACAGCTGAGATTGGCTGGGGGTGAAGTGTGGGGGTGAGGGGGGAGAGGAGAGGGGTAGTGTTTTGAATCTTACTCTTAATTCTAAAGCTGTAATTGTTACAATGAACAATATTCCTTCCAGTTGCTCTGGATAAGAGTGTACTGTATGTCAATCATATGACCTAGATGTAAATGTCCTTGTAGATTGTAAGGAAAAGGATGACAGAGTAGGGTGAAGTTGCCCCTACACACTGATCTATGGCCAGTTTGACATTTGACATCTCTGATGGTTGAGATTAGGAATTGAGGAGGGTAAGCAGTTGAGGATCCAATTTGTCTCCTAGTGTAGATACCCAGAGTGTGGCTGTATTAGTCCAGGAATGTGTCCTCTCTCTGGCTTGGCTCTCAACTCTTAGAAAAATATTATGGGCTGCATAACCATAGTGACAGCGACAGATGCCCCCTTGTCCATCGTCACGGAGATGGGCTGTTGCTATGGGGAACTCTCCACGACAACCCCTCAGTCTACAGTTAAATGGGAGAAGGGAAAGTATGACTATATGTCAATCAATCACTCAATCAATACATTAGCCAATCAACCAATCGCACATATCACATGCCCATGGTTGTAGTAGGTTGATATGCCCATGTGTGGGGAAGGCACAGGTGTATTAATCAACCAATCTACCTATAAGTCAATTAATAGTGACATCAAAGACAGTACAGTATGAAGATAGGCAGAAACTGCTTCTCCAATAGAAATCCCCGATCACGCTTGCAGGCGATTTCATGGCGATGCTGGCTAGTAGGGCTGAGCGATTAGTGCCTTTTGAGGTCAATTCTGGTTCAGTTTTTGAAAAATAATAATTTTCGATTTCAATTTTGATTATTATAATTTTTTACAATAAATGTATTATGTGGGTTCAATGCTGTAACATCACAGAATAAAATAATTGATGGTAGTGACGGCCTATTACAGTTTCAAGTTGTATTATTATTATTACTATCACTTATTAGGCTCTAACCATAATTTATTCACATTACTTTATATTTTGGTTGTGTATATTACATATTTGTTTTTAGTATCATATATGATCATATATTTCATTAATAAAACCCCAATGATGGTAGTGACTGCCCATTACTGCATATCACTTATTAATAAACCATCCTTTATTCACATTACTTTACTTTAATAAATTATTTCAGTTGTGTATATAATTTTTTATTTATTTGATGACTTATTATTTTATTCCAAATCATCATCTCACCTCTGCTCAAGTAGTAGCAGCAAGCCAGCCATCTATCTATCTCTATGCTCTCCAAATAATCATCCTTCAGGCTAGTAGGTTAGCATAGCTGGCTAGCTGCCTGCTGTCTGACAAAATCACTATTTCAGTAGTTCTTCAAAGTTGATAAGGGATACTTTTAAGCAGCAGCGCAACTTTGGTTTTAGAAGTGGGGGGGACATACACTACCAGTCAAAAGTTTGGACACACCTACTCATTCAAGGGTTTTTCTTTATTTTTACTATTTTCTACGTTGTAGAATAATAGTGAAGACATCAAAACTATGAAAGAGTGTGCAAAGCTGTCATCAAGGCAAAGGGTGGCTATTTGAAGAATCTAAATTCTAAAATATATTTGGATTTGTTTAACACCTTTTTGTTTACTACATGATTCCATATGTGTTATTTCATAGTTTTGATG